CTAAAACAAAGAGCATTTAAAATAGATCTGCAACAGTGGATGCCATGTTGACATTATCTGGCGTTATTAATCCAATGTGGACGTTTTTTAGATGATGTGGCATAATTTTTTTCTTTTTTGTAAAAATGTGGCATAACGAGGACCACTGTTCTTCTTCCCTAATCTCAAACACCTAGTTCTTCTTCTTCTTCTAGAGAAATCTTTCTCTAGTACAAAAGAATTAGGATTGCAACTGATAAAACCATGGCGTGTGTGATTGGGTCCAGAAGAACATGGACTAAGGTAGTGCTACGGACAATCAAGAACCAAAAGGGTAAGCGTTTGGCCAATTCGCTAAGGAGAAGCAACAGTATTCATGGCATGAAAAAGATGGTGGCAAAGGAAGAAGATGAGATAAGTTATAAGCAAGAAAACGAGTTGGCAAGTTTCACGATCCCCTCACCATCCATTTCATGAATCCTCTTTGGATAACCTAGATCTGGGTCCATTTCCCCCTCACCATCCATTTCATGATCCAAGAAGACCCCAAACAAGTTTCAAGGTGGCGAATCCTCACTATAACCTGGATCTGGGTCTGTTTCTCCTCAAGCTTGCCTGATACACGATTGCGATGGCTCCTTTCCTCAAAACCTCTTATCCGCCTCTGCTGATGGCTCCATCTCCATCATAGCACAGTGATCTCATTGGAAGCGGTAGGAGCTTCCAACACTTTCCTGGCCTCAAGAAGCTTCTTAGCATTCTCAGCATCGATGTAGCCCTACTCCGTGAGCTCGATATGACGCTTACGATCATGCTCAAGGATGTCCCTGTTGGGTTTCTTGGTGAGGTCGACAAATCCAATTCCATTGTACATTTGTTAAGGATTCGAGCAATCCTAGATCTGGAAACTGGGTTTTTAAGATTGGGGATGAAGTTCCTTGTTTTAAGAATTTTTTTTTTTTTTTTTTGTTTGGAACACTCGGTATCTGGAATCTCATTGGATCATCAATTAATCTGAATTTTTTTTTTTTTTTTTGGGTTGGAATGCGAGACAAGCAGGAAAAATCTTGTTAACAGTGTTCCTACTGCACACGTGAGCATCCAAGTGCATAAAAAATTATGCCACGTCATTAAAAAAATTCATGTTGGATAGATAACGTCAAATAATGTCCAAGTCAATTTTGAGGTGCCACGTGTTACATTTTTTAATGGTTGTTAACGGTTACGTGACGGCCCGTTAAAATATTGGGTTTTTCACGGGTTTGAAAAAATAAAGGGTGCTAATAGGGAGGAAAAATTTTGGAAGGTGTTGACCGCGGAAAAAAAATAAATTGAGGGTGCAAATAGGGGCTTTGGCCATAAATAATAATATCTACAAGCATAAGTGATATGATATCTACAAGAGAAATGCTGAAAAGTTATGATGAAAAAAACTAATGATATTTTCTTCACCTTTTAGTTTAGTTTAACTAGTGTTACCTCTGCTCATTTGCATATCATGTTGCTCATTTTCATCTTCCAAGAAAATTAATTTTTCGTTGAGAAAATCACTTGTTTTTCATTGGAATTCTAAAAACAGATGTCTTTGGTTTGGATTGATATCTTTCTTTAAGTTGGCCTATATTATTTTCTTAACCTAAATTTTGGGTCATACCATGTGTAGATTTTGTATAAATACCATATAGTTTACCAATGAGGGGTTGGATCAAGTGACAAGCGGCTTGTTCCAGCTTAAGTAAGGTTTCGAGTTCGAGATCTTGTGTACACAGCAGCCTTCGTTGGGAGACTCACCCACCATTTCCAAGTGCGCGACGCGGGTCGGGTCCGGATTAATCGGGGCGAAACCCCGGATACCAGGCGGGAAACCAAAAAAAAAAAAAAAACCATATAATTTTGCATTTCAATTTCTGTACTTGTACTATGTCTACCAGTTTCGCACCGCATGTCTTGTTATAAGTTCTAATAAGATGCTATACTGTAGTAGTTCATGACATATTTAATTGTTTCTTAGCTTGAAGTTAAGGTTATATGTGTTGACGATCACTTAAGATTTCAAAATTTTTAAAAAAATAATAATAATAAATTAAGTGTGAAAAATATAAAAAAAAATTATCATTCATCCAAATTATAAAGTGAGACAAATCATTTAAAAATAAATTTGCATAAATATCGAGGTTAAGAGGTTCAATAAAGATTGAGAAAAAGTATACCCACATCTCGCAATCATTTGTTTAAACATGATTGCATATTTTAATATTAGATTTTTAATTTAACTTTTTATTATATTTTTATTTAAGTTTTAATATGCAAGCTTGAAAAAGAGATGAACCCAATTGCAATATTTTTAAACTTTTGGACTAAATAGACAATCAAAAGCATGCATGCACCACAACCACGTGAAAATTTAAATGGACTGATTTGATTAAATTCCAAATATGAGGGATTGATTTGAAAAGATTTAGAATTTTTAGACTAAATTGCTTGTCATAAAAGTTTTGGGTGAAATTGAAATAAAAGAGAAATAATTTTGACTTTTGAGTAAGATTAGAGAAAATAAAGAATTGAAATTAATTAATTGTGATAATTAGTTTAACTGAATAATTAATTCAATATTAATTACAATTAATTAATTACATTTATTAACTTCTAATCAAAATAAATAAATTTAATTATTTCAAATTAAAACCAAAAAAATATAATTAATTTACTTTAATTGAAATTAATTAATTTCGTTCTGCATGAGTTAAACTAATTATCTTAATCAATTAATCATTTTATTTATATTTTTACTCCTTTTAATCCTAAAACACAAACCATCAATCAAAATATGCAAAAAAACAGATCAAATCTTGAACAAAAAACGAATTCATACTGATTGCATCTCATTTCCAGCAAAAGAAAAACACATTTATCAGGCAAATAAATTGAACAGTCTTTGATTTTTCATTCATTTTCCAGCAAAACATATACAAGCTTAACATCAAATCTAAAAAAAATAAACAGGAAATATCAACAGAAAAATGAAAAAGAAACATGACGGATTTTTTTGGAAGAAAACAGATCTGGATTTGATGGGAGGATCCCACCCACGAGATCAAGCTCCCATCATCTCCTTCACTACTTTCCCTAAAATAAAAACCTCTGTTTCAGGATTATACCTAGCAACAGTGAGACCCAGAAAATGCAGCTCTTCTGAAACCCTAAAACAGTCGTTCCTCTGGAAGCTCGATGATCCTTCATTTCAACGCCACTCCCCAAAAAGAATTCCTCCTTTCTCAGACTCCCCTTTTTTTCCTTTTTTTTTTCTTTTTTGTTGACGCCGGCTCTCTCCGAAAATCCCAGATCTCACCTCTCTTTTTTTTTTTTTTTGGTCGGCGGTCTCTCCCCCAAAATCTCAGGTTTTCGCCTCTTTATGCCGCTTTGTACAAGCCTACCCTGCCCTTTCCGTGAAGTTTCCTCTTCTCTGCTGGATGTGGCGCCATCCGTTCAAGAACGGAGCTAGTGGAGCATGAAGATCGGATAAGCAGAGAAGAAACAGAACCGATACCAGGAAGGGGAGGAATTTCTGCGTTTTTGTCCCCTTTTGTGCGGCTGTTACAGAGAAGAAATACAAAAGGTTTTTTGTGGTTTTGAGTAGAGAGAGTGGCTCTGTGGTGTTGATCGGGGAAGATAATGAGATCAGAGATGATCAGCAACAATGGCGGTGAGATCCAAGTCGAGGGGCCAGAGAGAGGTGGACGATTGGAGAAAAGAAGACTCTAGGGAATTTTTTTTTGGTGGCTGCCGAATCCTCCTCCAATCCCTGATCTGCTTGTGTGGCAAGGGTTTTTTAGAAAGGAGAAAGCTCGAGAGAGGAGAAAAATCTACTCTTTCTTTCTTCTTTTTCTTTTTTTGTCGGCCGCTCTCCCTCCTCGTCCGTTCCTTCCCCCTTAAAGAGAAAGGAAACTAGGGTTTTCCTTTATTGCTGGATTTGGGTTTTGATGGACTAGTTTATGATACTGGGTTAAGGCTTTGGGTTTGGGTTGGATTTGTTGGTTTTTCTTGGTGGATTTCATCCCTCCAACTTTTGATTTCTTCAATTGAGTCCTTTGTTTGAAGTTCTTTTCAAACCTCTTCACAAAATCCCCTCTTTTTTTTGCTCACGAACCTAATAATGAAAGAAAAAGCAAAATATATTAGTTAAAATAACAATAAAACTAACAAATAAAATTTTATTAAAATTTTGAATTATAGTAATATGCCCAGGATGGTGGTTCCCCAAGAGGCCCTGTTTTTAATATGGACTTAAAATTTTGTTCTGGCTTTTGTATGCCATGGAATTACTCAGCCTAAATGCATATATTTAGGTTCACAGTTCAAGTGACATTTGGAGGTCCGGGCACTTGCCAAATTTCT